TTGGGTTCATTTTACAAGCGACTAGCTTGGCTGCTGTCTGAGCCAGCCTTCATTAATGAAATTGTATTTTCTCAACAAGGTTAGCTTAATCCTTTTGTTTATGGTTCACTCACATGGGTTAAACATTATAAATCATTTTTTCCCTGCATATTTCAATTTGACACATGTGCAGCAGGTCTGTGATATGTTACATGGCATGACAAGAACACACGGTTTGATGTCAAACACTGTATTCTCATATTATACAGTATGTGCAAGTAAACAGTAAAACAAACATACAGTAATCAGAGTACGAACATAAATTAATTTGGCCAGTATGAAAAAATGACTTCTGTCTAACGGATTCTGTTTCAGTATAGAAACAGATTAAAAGATCAACCACAAATGAATTTCGCCCAGAACGTGCCCACCAGATAAGTACAAATGTTGAACAACACTTAAGAAGATGACTTTACGAGCATGTAAAAATGTGTTTCTTCAGATTCAGTGATTCATTTCTTAAAAATAATTTAGAGAATCTTGATTATTCTGTCAACAGAATAATACAATCAGAGCAAAATCTAAAAGTGTCAAAACACTGAAATAAAACAGCCTTCAACTGACTACAGAGCTTTCAAAGCCTATAAAATGGGAGTTTAACCATGATTGCTTCAAAACACAGACATCATGAATTAATACTTTTTACCACAGAAGATTACATGGTGAACTTGTTTCCCATTATTTCAGATCAGATCAGAATGGAGTTCAGGCTGGAACAGCACAAAAACTTTGATCATCAGAGAACGAATCAAGTGAAGAAGAGGAGGAGGAGGGATTGGGGACATGACGTACAGTATGTGCTTCACGCCAAGCCAATGCAAGGAATTAAAACCATATTATTTCCAGTGAATGAATAGACTGCAAAGACAGGCTGTAGAGTGACGGATTAAAAAGAGAGCGAGAGGAAGACAGAAAGAGCCACAAAACAACAGCTCCCAGGGGGAAACAGACCATTTGAATGCATATTATGTAGTGCACTACATGCCACGAATAAATGCACAACATCATGTGATGCACAGGTTTATTATTATTATTATTTAATTTCCTTTTTTTATGATACATTTTCTGCCATTTGAGTAAGAAAACATACTTAATACATTTTTTTTTTCAAGGAATTATACCACTTTGTCTATAGAATAAGATCCAACATAAATATCACTTTTTCAAATTAATCAAAATTATCAGATACATCAGAAAGA